AGCCAACTAGGCAGATATCCTGTTGGGAGTCTGTTACAGACCACCCAACCCATGATGAGGAGGCAGAAGAAATGTTCTATAAGCAGCTGGGAGAAGTCTTACAATTGCTAGCCCTTGTTCTTCTGGGAGACTTCAACTTAACAGGTGTCTGCTGGAAGTACAACACAGCAGAGAGGAAGCAGTCTAAGAGGTTCCTGGAGTATGTGGAAGACAACTTCCTGATGCAGCTGGTGAGAGAGTCAACTAGGGAAGAGGCCCTGCTGGACTGACTGCTCGTGGTGTGGTGCAGTCTTTGCTGGGTAAAAAATTGGCTGGATGACTGGGCTCAGAGAGTGGTAGTGAATGGAATTAAATCCAGCTGGCAGCAGATCACTAGTGGTGTTCCCCAGGGCTCGGTTTTGGCACCAGTCTTGCTTAATATCTTTATCAATGATCTGGATGAGGGGATCGAGTAAACCCTCAGTCAGACTGCAGACAGTGCCAAGATGGCTGGGAATGTTGATCTGCTGGAGGGTAGGAAGGCTCTGCAGAGGGATCTAGACAGGCTGGATCACTGGACCAAGGCCAATTGTCATAAGGTTCAACAAGACCAAGTGACAGGTTCTGCCCTTGGGTCACAACAACCCCAGGCGGCACTACAGGCAGCGGGGAGAGTGGCTGGAAAGCTGCCCTGCAGAAAAGGATCTGAGGGTGCTGGTTGCCAGTGGCAGAACATGAGCCAGCAGTATGCCTGGATGGCCAAGAAGGCTAATGGCATCCTGGCTTGTATCAAAAGTAGTGTGACCAGCAAGACCAGATAAGTGATTGTTACCCTGTACTCAGCACTGGTGAGGCTGCACCTCAGTGCTGTATCCAGGTCTTGGTCCCTCGTTACAGGAAGGACATTGAGGCGCTGGAGTGTGTCCAGAGAAAAGCAACAGAATTGGCAAAGGGTCTGGAGCACAAGTCCTGTGAGTAGCAGCTAAGGAAGCTGGGATTGTTTAGCCTGGGGAAACGGAGGCTCAAGGGAAGACCTTATTGCTCTCTACAACTACCCGAAAGGAGGATGTAGCAAGGTGAGGGTTGGTCCCTTTTCCCAGGTATAAAGTGGGACAAGAGGAAACAGCCTCAAGTTGTATCAGGGAAAATTTAGGTAGGATATCAGGAAAAATTTCTTCACTCAGTGTTCCATCAAGCATTGGAACAGGCTGTCCAAGAAAAGTAGTTGAGTACCCATCCCTGGAGGTATTTGAAAGATTTTCAGACGTGGCAGTTCGGGATGTGGGTTAGTGGTGGACTTGGCAGTGCTGGGGTACTGGTTGGAGTTGATAATTATAAGGGTCTTTTCCAACCTAAACAGTTCTATTATTCTAAAATCTGTACTTGTTCTTGTAAGCAGCCAAAAGTGCATTATTACTTGTATTTAACACAACACATTAGCATGTGCTAGGAAATATATCTTCTGAAATATTGCTGTGTTACCTTTCCAACAGGGAGAAATTTTATTCAACATGAAGCATTAGAAATTAGGAGCCTAACTAAATTTCTGGAATGATGGCTTTGAGAGACTAAAGAAACATATCTTTCCATCTTGATGCCCTAGGAGTATAATATGAAGGAGTGCTAAATTTCAAAAATAGAGCAGTGGGAATCATTGAAAGTATGTCAATGCTGAGGGCAGCCTGGAGAGCAAATAACTTAGGAGGCAAAATGCTGCTGCTAATGGTTTGCAGCTACAATAAACTTGTTTTGAAACTGTGGAACAAATTTTTTGGACACTCACAACTTGCACAGTTATTTCTGGCTGTTTGTTATGCTCTTGATCAAGAGGTGTTGAATAACTGAGGCTGGACATACAGAATTAAGATTTTCTTTCTTTGACAACAAGCTGGACAAATGCTTTTAAAATAAGCTTGTAAGAACACTTTTTTTTTTGTGATATTGGTGCAGTCATTCACAAAGGGGAAGGAACTTCATACGTATTTCCATCTGAACAAACTTGGCCAAAATAAATTAACCTGGTTTAAAATTTTATTACTGTATATAAGTTGTCCCTGTCCAGCAGTAATTTCATTAAATATCTGTTGAAATTATGCAGTTCTGAGCACTGAAAATGCTTAACTTCCTTCAAGAAGGCAGCTTATATGGAATAAATCAGCACTTTTTAATGAATTTTATTCTGTTGAACAAGCTGAATTTGAAGGTTAGAGGTAACTGTCACATATTTTTCCAAAACACATTGGTAAAGAAAAAGTTAGTAGCTGAAGTCAACCAGAGTTGCATTCTTTCCCTCATGTATTTACACAGGAGCTGTGCACAGGTAGATGTCTGAAACAGAACAGACTGTAGCTCTAGTTATTGTGAAAGAGATGGGAACTCCTGAGGGGAGGCCAATGTATTCCTCCCACTTGAGAACAGTCTTGCTAGTATAATGCAGTGAGAAGTTTCCTTTCTCTAATTAGTTCTGTCATTAGTCTTCCTTCTAATCCTAGGACAGATGGGTGCACAAAACAGTGTGAGGTGACTTAGCTTCTTTTTATGTGCATCTAAGGAATCATACTCACACATGTCTAGAAGAGCGCTTTTAAATTTTAAAAATGCATTGGCACAGTAAATGAATAAGAACATACCCTGGGGAAGAATTCAGACATCTGTTCTGCTTTTATGGTTATACCTCTGCCCATAACACCTTACCTTACAGTATTGTTTCTTGGATCCACTGGGGGAGGGGAAAAAAAAAAACCAGTAGCAACTTCTCGTGTGCTTCTTGTGTAACTTGTACTCTTCTTAAAATATGCAAAACATTAGAAAATAGGTACAGTGAAATACTTATTTTAGTTAGTTTTTTGGACTAGAATTCTTGCATTTTAAAATCTGGGAGGAAGGACTACTGGATTCTTTTCTGACTCTGTGCTATGGAGGCCTTGCACATTCTATATAAAGCACACCTAGGTTAGTTTATGGTAGTTCTTATGATACTGAATACTTACTGTACATAAACTTGAAGAGCATGTTGGGGTTTTTTCTCGCTGTTGGCCTCATTGTGCAGTGGTTTGTGCTAGGCTATGGCTGAGGTGGACAGTAGTCCCCAAAGGTTTTAACCCTCCCTGCTCAGCTAGAAACACTTAGCATCTCTTGGAGTTTCTTGAGCAAAACCTTGGCTTGACTGTCTTCCTCTGACACGTACAGTCGAGAGGAGCAGAAGAGCATGTGAATTGATTTTTGTTCTTGTGAATGGAAGCTATACTGTACATGGTCTACAACAAAAATGCTCTTTGGAGGCCTTTAAAGCTGTGTGCTAGAACTATTTACATTTATTTTGGAAGTAAGAAAATTACTAGTATTAAGAGTAACTGAGAAAAGGAAAAGCAATAGTGTAGGAAAAAAACAGAGCTAAGGAGAGTGGTAGTAGCCTGTTTCTCTGTGCCCAGTTTTGGGAGTTGGAAGAGGAGGCTGGGCTCAGTGTTGCTGCTGACCTGTAGTAGGGAGTAAGGTAAAACATGGCTTGAAATTGAAATGACTAAAACTGTGCTGAATACTACAACTGCTACTCGTGGAAGAGCTGGGTTTGGAGTCCTGATCTGAGCCCGTCGCTGAAATACAGAAAGTCTCAAATGCTCAAGAGGGAACACTTTATTATAGAGCATTAAATGATTTGACAGAGATGGTTCCTGCATGCTTAGAAATGGAATTGTCTGCAGTTTTCTATTCTGCTTCTGTGTAACAGTTGCTTGTGAAGCAATGTGATGTGCACTTGCCTTCCAGTCTTACGAGCTTTTAGATAGCTTAATTATTTAAGGTATTTTCCTTGTGAAGGAAGGAGAACAGATGAAAGAAATGAGCTGAGATAAAGAATTAGGTCAAGTCTCTTTCCCTAGCAACCAAATGAACAACAGTGACCAAAAAAAAAAAAGAAAAATAAATATTTTCTCTTGATGGTAACTTCTACCAATAAATAGTTTCTTCTAGTCAAATGCCATGTCCTGGAATCCATCTGCAGAGCATTTTGATGGGCTAGCTTATAATGATATTGTGGCTAGAAACTGGGCTGTAATTACTCCATTTACCCTCTAAGAAAATGTCACTGTTTGTCAGGAAAAACTGAAGCAACAATTTCTATATACACACAACACACATGTGTGCCATTTTGTTAATTAAATAACCAAGAGAAACATGGGACAGCTCACCAAGGCTGTTTGGCTTGGAAGACAGGAAAGGAGCAAGTGGAATCAGTTTTCCTGCCCAAAGGGATGTCAGTCTGAGATGATCACAGAGTTAAATTCTGGAGTAGGATTTGACTTTTGGAACTTGTTGAATGCTTGATAAATCATAGACTTCTTGTGGAGAGTCTGGACCGATCACTTCAGTGGTTGTCACACTTGTGAGACAGGAAGAATGCTTTTTTTTCCCCTACTTCAGAAGCATGCTTTGAAGAGAAATTCACTGCTGTATGTATTTCTGCCCTTTCATGAACAAACTTGAACACGAATCAAGTATTCTTATTTTTCCATTGGTAAACCATGTGTGGAAATATCAGTATGTTGTACAGCAATGGCTCTGTGACTCTGCTTCTTTTTTTTTTTCTTTTTTTTTTTGTCATGGTGAGAAGTCCCAGCACTGAGGAGAAGTATAGCTGCTCTTAAAGGAACTTGAGTTGCCACTGTCCAGGATCGGCTTGAATTAAGAATTTCTGTTGATATGGTTTGGGTCTTTTGCATGGATCTCAGTGTTTGAAGGAATTTGGTTTCTGTTTTGTTTCAGCATTTGGGTAGGAAAGACAAACACACACACATATGTGTTTAATTCTGGAAGTCTTCCATGCAGATACCTGATGTTAGATTTTACTGTTCTGTCATATGAGAAAAACTTATTTTTCTTTGTTTTTGTTTTTACACTTGTGTTAAAACTGGGACTGGTCAATAGGAACCAATATATGAGTGTCTAACTGTGCATGTATCATACCCACAGTGAATTCTTAAGTGGTTTAACTCTGTTTTACTTGCTTTGATTCTGTCTTGCAGAGTTCCAAAGTGCTTGCAAAGAAGGAGCTCTCCTACATGCCTATCATTGGTTGGATGTGGTATTTCCTAGAGATAGTCTTCTGCAAGCGCAAGTGGGAAGAAGATCGGAAAACAGTCATACAGAAGTTGCTGAATCTCCGGGACTACCCTGAAAACTTTTGGGTGGGTGATGACTAACAGGTGGGGTGTGAGGTGCTGTAATGCTTGGCAGGAATAAGGGCACAGATGATATGTGATATTCACCAGCTTGCTCCTGAGAACTTTGATTCATGAACTTCCTGGTGGTATCAGGAGAGTATTCTCGAAGAATTGAATTTTCTCTGGAATTTCCCATGTAATAGTCTGTCTTGTCTGTTTTCTTCCTCTGTAGTATGGAGCCCTACAGATGTCACTGCAAAAATACCTGTACTGTGATCCATTCAGTAAATCTTGTGGTCCTCTAAATACAGGAGCCTGGATAGGGGTAGATGTGGGGGGTTCATGGCAGTGTAACAGATGCATGTGACGATGTATTGAAACACATCAACCGTATTCTTTACCTAAGATTCCCCTCTTGCCTTAGATTGCAGAGTTCCTACTAGTGTTTTCCCCTTCCATGTGATTTTGCCTTTCCTGTGAACGTGCTTGGTCAGACATGGCCCAGTAGAAGTGGAAGCCACCTGGTCAGAGATATGGCCCACTTGGGCCATTGACTGTTTTTCAGGGAGAGGATTGGTGTCACTTTTCAGCAACAGGAAAGTGTTACTTTTTTCATTGCTATCATTTTTTAGTATTGAGCCTGCCTGGTGTTTCCTGGTTTGAGAATGAAAAGCCTTTGAATTTTTTCTCTTAGTAATCAGAAAAATCATAGTTCTCAAGAGCTAGTGATGGCAAGAGGGCAATTTGGTTAAAGAAATGGTATATTAAGCAGCCTCACCAGAGCCTACAGAACCTATTGCTTAGGAAGCAGTTTGTTCATGAATATGTATGTGCTGGATCTCATTCTCTGAAACAAACATTTTTTTTAAATGTCATTGATTTAAACAAGTGCTAAGCTGTGCTTCGGTAATGTTTAGATGACTTCCAGGCAGAAGACTGTGTAGTAGAGGGGCCATTCTTTGTTTTCAGTTTCAGTTTATCTCACCGAGATTTGCCTGTTCTCCGTGACTTGTAAAAGGTGTTGAATGCCTTTCTATGCACCTAGGTAGTTCAACTCTAATCAGTGAGCACAAGCCACCACTATCCTATAGATACTAATTACTAAGAAGGAGCTATACCTACATACAGGAGATAGTTGTTGATGTACCCGGGGTTATTGCATGTGGAGTTTTAATTTGCCTTTGTATGATGGCATGTCAAAAGGCACAACAATAGCACCTTGGAAGGTAGACAGGCAAAGCATGGGAAGTGGACTAGAGAGATTTTCTCATCAGTTTCGGTATGTTTCATCTAGCTGCTTAACATGCTTGTGATACATGAGTAGAAGTGGTCTTGGATGAGCTAGAGCTGAAAGCCGTCTGCTTGGCTAGTTTTCTTCAATCTCTGTCTTTGTTGGCTATATTTTTGCTGTGGGTTCTGAGGACTTAGCTTGTGTGATATGGCAGTGCTCTCTGATGTGTTAGTTTGCGTTCAGGCTTGGCAGAAAGCAGATGAGCAAGTGGTAAATCTCCAAAGATCTGTGTGCTCTCCCCTGCCTGCCAGTGGCAAGATTGTAATTGTTCACGTCTGAGCACTTCCACTGTTCATAAGCACATGAGGCTTTCAGTTGTCCTGCATCTGCTGCCTTACATCTGTTACCAGCTCTGTCCCTGGCATCAGAGTTGCTGTGTGTAGTTGTCAGTGTCCTCGTGCCATAAGTGAAAGCCAGAGGGTTGGAGTCAGGGGGTGCAAGCTGGGTGCTGAAGCATTTCCTAGAAATGTCCCTAGTTTAGACACTTACCAAGATTTAGATACCATGATACCTGTACACTTCACCATCAGTGAAACATTTGCAACAGGAGTATATTTTGAGTGTAGAGATTGAGTGACTCATTTAGAGAAATCAAGTCATTCTGATAGCAAGTAGCAGAGCAGATGATTAGGTCTAAAAGCTGAAGTTCAAACCAGAGGATGGCAAGTTGGATGAGTGTTTGGTTTTGACTTTTTTGTTGTTTGTTTGTGTGGTTGTTTGTTTCAAATTTTTTACTTCAGTCAAATAAATTACCTAAATGTGTATGTGGCTACAACTGTTCCTGCTAGCAGTCTTAACTTGGACTGTGCTGGTGGGCATTAGAGACACCTCTGCTCAGTCAGATGTAGAAGACCTGAGCTTCTGTCTAACTGTAGTTCTCTCTTGGTTTTAGTTCCTGATTCATTGCGAGGGCACAAGGTTCACAGAACAGAAGCACCAAATTAGCATGCAGGTAGCCGAAGCCAAAGGTCTGCCCAAGCTCAAGTATCACCTACTGCCACGAACAAAAGGATTTGCTGTCACCGTGCAGTGTTTGAGAAATGTAGGTAAGGAAAGTCACAGGGAAAAATGCTAAATGGTTATTTCATCCAGCTACTGTCAGTTTGCCGTGCTTTTCTTTTTCCTGTAGCGTGAGTCCTAGCAGAAAAGGCCTGGGACCCTCTCTGACCTTTTTTCCACTATCCTGTGATTTTACTAATAAAGTCCTGGAGCAACTTGGGGTTTTTTATTAATATTTTTTTTGTTTTGTTTTCTGTTACTGTGACTGTGTATTGGGAAATCTCCAATTGCATATTTTGTACCTATTGCCAAAGGATAGTATTTCTTAGTATTTACTAAGCTATTGTATTCTAAATGAAGCAAATGCATCAGTAGAGAATCTGAGGCAGTGTGTCTTAAAATGTTTCCTTGTGGTAAATACCTGCCTCAAATGACATAATTTTTAAATTTAAAAAAAAATATTCTGCTTTAAATTCCTGTATAGATTTGCTCTTTAGAGTTTCTTTGTGGAGCTTAGGAAGGGGAGTAGACCTTGACTGAAGATACATGTAGCCAAAATTTTTAAACAGATTATTTCTGAATTACAGAACATGAAGTAAGTTTTTCTTTGTTAATGTTGTTCTTAGCTCCCTATCCCCCAGTTATGTCTGGTTACTTGCATTTGCCACCTTTAAGATGACATCAGTAAGAATATTGCACACATTGCCTTTGAAGTGATTTTTTTTTGGCTAATACTATCTATCAAAGTTGTCTGCTGTGGACTTCATGGGTAAAGGAAAGACAGTGCTAAGTAGCCATAGTGTTACGGTATTTTTGGGGGTTGGTAGAGTTATGTATTGCTAAAAGGCTGTTGCGTAAGAAAGACAAAGTGGTTATGGGTTTAGAAGAAAATATTCTAGCTTGACTGAAGCTAATATCAAAACTTCTTTTGTCTTTGAAGACACATTTTCATGTGGCATATCTGGGATAGTTGCTGTAAAAAAAACTTTGCAGTCAGCTGTCTTGCTATCTGTCATATTTCTTCTACATATCCTCTTGCGAGTCAGGTAGATCATATCACTGTTGTAGCTTACCAGGCACCTACAACTTTCCACCCCCAAAATGGATAGCATAGCTTGGATCTTTTCTGATACATGAAGAAGAGGTAAGTTATGTGAAGCATCCAGTAACCCCCTTAAGGGCACAGTTTAACCTTGCCTTTTGAATAAGGGTGGCTGTTTGACTGAGGGCAGGGAGGTGGTAGACTTGAGGCACTGAAGAAGAGATGAGTCAAAACTCTGCGACCTCTGATGCCCTGAGCTGGGAATCAAGGACAGGGTATTTTGGTGGTGATTTTGTTCTTTTCACTGCTCTGTGTAGTACAAGCGAAATAAGGCATGATTGTGGACAAATAGCTGATTTGTGGGAATATGTTTCAAAAGGAAAGAATTGTAGGGAACCCGAGTGACATTTATAAAAACTTTTTGGTGTTCATGTGATACACTACAGTAACATTTACTAGGATCCTAAATATTTGAAATACCTTCAGAAAAATAAGGCCGAGATTGCTAGATTACTCATATACTTAGGGGAGTGTGTGTCATTGCCTCACTCCATAAGCTGTGACTCGCTAGATGAGGTGAGGTAAGGCCACTAAGAAGGTAGTACTTCCCTGTGAGGTTCAAGGAGAAGCACAGAGCCGTAGCTTCTCATATACAGTTTCAGCAAAAACTGCTGAGCTTGAAAACCCAACCAACAGACCTCTGAGGGTTTGATGACCCCATATCAGTGTTGCACATTTTTCTGGATGTGTTGATTTACTTGCCTTGCCACTTTTTGCAATGAAAGGGAGATACGAGGGTTATTGTCTGGGTTATTATATGTTTCTCTCCTATAGAGACAAGGGGTAAATGTGACGAGCATTTGAAAAGCCTTTGTAATCAATGTCTTATTTTTAGAACTCCTTGTAACATTATTATGTACAGATAACAAGGAAGTCCATGCATGTTTTTTGAAAAGAGAATGTGATGGGAGTCTGTTATGACAGTCCATAATCTAGAAATGTAAGCTCTATCTAGAAGTTAGGTCAAATCTGCAGTGGGGTATCCCTGTGCATCTCTAAAAATGAGAGACTGGTGCTGAGCTCCCTGAATCCATTTTGGGCTCTGCTATTTAGGCTAATGCACTTTCAGATCTCCCACAAGGGGTGGTGGCCCTGGCTGGAGCTGGAGCACCATGTAGCAATGAAATCAAGCCACAGGTTTTGGACCAGTTCACAGCTGGGTGTGACAGAGCTTCTGTCTGGTTTCTTTCCATTTCTTTCTAACAAAGGTGTGATTCCACTTGTTTGGGGCTGTAGGACTATATCATGGATAGATGGTGTTCTTTCCGTGTGTAGAGGTAATTTACCCGTAGTAGCAGTGATCACAGGTTGGTCCTCTTCAAAACTTTGTATCAGCTCTTAATACTCTGTGGTGCAGTCATTCTGGAAGTAGTTTTGAAGTACTTCTCCAGTAGTGAGAAATAGACGTTGGTGACATGAGCCTGGCAAGTCCATCTGTTTTGAAAAACTTGCCTTCAGAAGGAGTTTATTCAATGTACATACGTGAGAAGCTGCCTCCATACCAGTGATGCCATTTCTGTCAGCATAAGCAGATATGTTTGGATAAAAATATCTTTCATGTGAGAGAACAAGTAAAGGGCCTTCCCTCCTAACTCATTTCTTTCATAAGTGATAATGGAATTCTTTTCTTCTCAGAGATTTACTTTCACAAGTTCAGACCTCTGCACACAATTTGATTCTTAAAGAAGTGCTTTTAATATTTTTTGAACTTTTCTGATAATTTTGTCAGTGACTGTCTCTCCCAGTATGGTAGTAGAGACACAGTCACCAGGAGCTTAATTTCTAGAAGCTATTTGCTGTCTTAATAAATTGCTGTTTGCTACCCGTACTGTTCATGGAAACAAATGGAAATGCCGATCCGTTTCTAAAACATTCATACATGATTTACCATAAAAATAAATGTCATAAATACTGCAAAAGATATATTTAGCTGTTACTTTTATTGCCTGGGTGTATATCAGGCAATTCCTTTCAGCTGTTTTTATTTAGTGAAGACTTGTATTTAAAAATGTGCCTCAAGATGGGTTGTAGATAAGCCCAAGTTGTGTTGTGCACCTTTTCCTCCAGTTGTGCACACTGGGAACTACTGTCCTAGAGAAAACGCATGAGAATAAATTCCAGAGTGGTGTTCTCATGGAGTTCAGTATGACCGTGTTTGAGAGTCTTGCAATGACTTTTTTCTTCCCTTGAGTTGCACTTTAGTCCTGGATTATTATTTGTTTTCAAGTGGGCTTCTAGTCATCATCCAGAGAAGGTTACCAAGTTTGAGAGGATGAGTGATTTTTGACCAAGCTGACCAGAGCAATGAAATGTGTCAAGGTGGTAACATACTAAAAGTACAGTGAATTCCACTGTACCTTCCCCTCCGTTTTGCAATCTTCAGATCATTGTGTGCTAGTATGAAGGTGCATGTAGGTCTACTCATTCCCTGTAGGTTGATTTGTCAGATGATCCACCATAATTTTGGCATGATCCTCCATGGCTACAAAATAATGCGTGAAATTCAAGAGTACAGTTAAGTAAGAAGAATCCTCTCTAGATGCGTAATCTGAAGATTTATTTTTCTTTTAGGTTGAAGTTAAGAAATTAAATCTTTTTTATTTACTTTTTAAGTACATAGCTCTCTGTCAGAATGCTGTACAGAGAACAAAGTTAAAGATATGAAAAAAAACTGTGCAGAGATTAGAAAGCAAACAAAAAAACCCTAGACTTTTTTGACAGGAAATAGCAATTTGACTGGAAAAATTTTCGGTTTAGTTATGATCTGTTCTGAGCCTTTGAAACGGCTTTCAAAGACTTGTGTTTGATTTTTAATGAAAAAGAGGTTTTAATATATAATTTCTTCATAGAAAATATTTCACAAATGAAGCAAAACTTCATTTGAGGCTGCCTATATTAGCCCAAGAGTGAGACAGTTGTTGCAATGTTTTCAAGATAGTATGGTGTTATTTTTTTACTTGTTTTAGAAAGTGAAATTTCTGGACTCCTCAGCTTTTGGATGAGAAAGTCGTGAGAGGTCCAGTTCTAATTATATAATTACAAAATCCACTTTTAATGATAACCAGTTCACACAGCATGCTAGTGCTGCTTTGGCTGTGGAAGCTTTCTGGCAAATTTTAAATTCATGCAGTCATTTTCTTTGACACTTTTATTGTTGTTCTTTTCCTACACTTTCAGAATGAAAAAGCTGAAGTCTTTAGTTATCTTCTGTTACATCTGGATATAACAGAGGTCTCTTTACTCCTGCACATGCTGTCATTGTCTTGGGTTTGGCACTGCTTTGCACCAAAAGATTTCAATGTGTTATTAAAAGGGACTGGACTGAATATGAAACTATAGACCAGTTGCAAACTGGAATAGGATTTCTTTTTTTTTCCCTGGAGAAAAGGAAGATTGTGCAAGGCTGTCAGCATATAAAGATGTTCCTGGCCAACTCTGCAGAAACTTTTTTCAGAACAGGAGAACCATGTTCCAATTTGTCCGAACAAAAGCCAATTCATATAAAAACTCAAATGGAGATATCTTGTAAAAAAATGAAAGAACAAGTGTTCTGTATATCATACTTTGCTTTATTGCATCCCTATTGTCGTTAGAATAATGCTATTAAAGAATAAACTAAGAAGCTTACCCTGAATAAACCAAACTGAGCTCTTGTTTTCATTCAATTACATTGGATTAGTAAATTAGAGTAGATTAGTAAAATCCTTCTATGCTAAGAAGCTTAAAAATGGAGGCAGATACTTATTAAAAAAAAAGTAATTTCTTACTTGTACAGAGAGAGTAGTCTGCTAGAAGTTGATTTTAGCTTATGCGTTGCAGTTTTGAGTTTGGGCTAAGAATCTAACTGTAGTAGGAAAAGAACGGAGTTGTTAGTGCGAGGAGCAGTCTGTATGCAGTGACAGGGGTTTGGCCTTTGTGTTCAGGATTTCCTTTCAGTGCTGAAGCTGTTCTGTGCTTTGCATTCTGTTTTGGAGTGACAAATGATGTGATGAGTTTCTGGGAGCTGAATGCTGTGACCAAGCCCTATTTATCTCTCTATAACTAGAGAGGTTTCAAAACCAAGAGCAAATCTGTGCTATGTAAAAAAAGGCTTTCTTAGGCAGGTCAAGAGCTCTCACAATAAAGGTTCATGACATGCATTTTTATTCATTATTGCAAAACTCTGGAGCAGGAAACTTAAAATACAGCAAGCTACAGGTGAAATGCTTGTTAGTCACGTGACAAAAAAAGAGAAGTTTCTTTGCTGTCATTGGTCTTAGAACTCATACCATGACACACAACATATTTCAGTGTCAGGAAAATGAATTGTTCTTTGGTAATTTTGTGACATCAGGAAAATAAGTATGTGTTCAGAAAAACTTTTTTGAAAAACTGTATGTGGTTTAACAGTGAATGTTTTCTCTTTGGAAACTGCTTGTTAATGCTGTCTGGTTTAACTGCAATTGGCCTTTGCAAATGCTTTTGCTGTAACTGCTCAGTCCTGAACTGCAGAAACAGTTTTCTCAACACTGAAAGTTTGGCTGCAGTTTTGTTCAGTGGAACTTGTATGTTATACGCGTCACATTTGCATGTCTTCATAGCAGCAGCCCAGCTCACACAAGATGTGGTCTGTCATTCTGTGTCTGCCTTTGCCCTATAGCAACTTCCTGAGTTATCAAATAAGGGACATAAAAGGGGGGTTGGTTTTGACCCCAGCAATTTATAGTTACATTAAGCCCTTCTGCTGTAGGATGTCTCACACACACACACACACACACTTTACCTATTCTTAGTCAAAGGGTATATATTGTTCATTGTTTATAAAGTGTGTATCTGCCTGGTTGTTTCCCCCCTTATTTAGGGGGGTAGTTGCATCATTCACAGTGAGTCAAGACAGACAACAGTTTTTCAACCATTGACTCCTCGGAAGTCCTAGGTACAGTCTGTCAGAAACTGTAATTGTATGCCTGTCATTCTGTACCTGATGGGGAAGAAGGCAAGGGTGTAGAGCAGACCTTTTCATTCTGCTGGTGCAGTTTCTGAAAGGGTCACCGAAAGGCCTTCTTAAATCCTGCATGTTGAGTGTTCCATTGTCATTTTTACCTTGGTGACAGCTCAAACTGTGGTGCTATTTAAATATTCTCCTTGTCTGAGAGATAATGGCTTATTTCCATTGTATTACTACTGTAATCACATAACTTGTTTCTCTTTTTGTAGTTTCTGCAGTCTACGATTCTACCCTGAATTTTAGAAATAATGAAAATCCAACATTGCTGGGAGTTCTAAATGGAAAAAAATATCATGCAGATTTGTATGTAAGGCAAGTAATCCATAGTTTAATTCCTTTTTAGCATACAGGAGTGTGTACCTGCAGTCGCAATTGGACAGATAAGGGAATGTTTTCAAGTAGGTGATGAAAAGCAAATCTCTACCAACCCGGCTTCACAGAGCTTCAGATAAAAACTCCTATTGGATGGGAAAGGTTTCTTGTAAAGTTCTGTGACTGCAAATATGTGGGGAACCCATAAGTGTCTACACTACTTTTTGTTTGTTATTTTTTTATTCATTTGTCTGTCTTTTGGCTCAGGAGCAGCAGAAGGGCCTCTTTTCACTCCCTTGGCCAGAATATCAAACATCATCTAAGTGTTCAGGTGGAGTTGCTTTATACCTGTCTCTGGCACAGGAGTTCCAACTCTGGTGGAGGCCAGGCTGAGGACTGTTCCTATCTCTGTTTGTTGGTATAGTTGATGTATTTGCCTGCTTCTCCCTCCCTACCAGGGGGTTGTTTAATGAAAAAAACATTACTTGGATTCCTTTTCATTAATGTTTCTATAAGTGATGAATACCCCAATGGATTCCCATAATCTTAATGGGAATGAGCCGATTCCCAAGTGAGGTTCTACCAGCAGCACCCATACTACAGGCACTCAGGACATGAGATAGTTTAGGGTTGGAGCATAGGAGCCTAAAAGTGACACCACAAGTGACCAGGAGTTCATCATAACCCCTTTAGAGCTATAGTGGGCTGGTCCAATTGGTTTATCTTGGATACCAACATCAAATGGAATAGGGTGACCTTTTTTTTTTTCCTCCCCTTTTCTGCCTGTTTGCAAAAATATTTCTTCAGAACTGTTTTTGCTCAAGGGTAAAAAGAAACTTTCTCTTGATTCCTCCTCCCACTTGGTAGGTTAGCCTGGTTGTCCTTGTGTTTGGTGTACACAGCTTGGCTGGCTAGTTCATGGAGGACAGGTGGCCCTACCTGTGTGGGTCATTTCTCCAGTGGAGCACAGGGGCGTCTCCTCTTCCTGTATCTCCATTTACACCATTCCAGCCTGCTGTGAGTCAATCTGGCAGACTATGGAAATTGCCTTTCACAACTCAGAGTAGCTATTTACTCTTCTGTCCTTTTGAGCTTCTTGAAAAGCTCTTACAGGCAGGGTAAGCCTCATGGCTAAATTTGTTTTGGCGATTAGCTGGGGACTATCACAGATATTCTTCAAAATCCTCCATATTTGCTTATTGAAGTGCCATAGGTGTTGCACTAAATGGAATTTTGCAAAATTTGGATGACCGTGTTAAATTGTGTTAGTTTGCAATGTTTGTCACCTTAAGACTTTTTTAACCAAAGGAACAAATCAGTAGTGTCACACCTGTTAATTTATTAACTGCAAACAGGAGTGTCCCGACACTGAGAAGTTATTCTCTTGTGCTGAAGGAAGTTAATTTGATGCTGCTCTTAATGGATATTAATTAAAATATATCCTACATTGAAAAAGTAAAATTATTTAATATTGCCATTAGTGTACTTAAATGAGGTTGGTAAGAGATATTTTCTGTCACAGGGTTATTGACCAAAATTCATATGATGAGATGAAAACTTTGGTTTGTCAAGAGAGAATTTTTCAGTAATAGGAGCCATTTTGCTGGACATTATCCAACCAAGCTTCACATAACAAAAATTACAAGAATTGGAAATGTTGATGGAGAAACACTAGAGAACTTTACCATAAGTTATAAGAAGAATAGTTTGTTTTTCTCTCTATTGCCTAGCTGATTAAGTACAGCCTTTAACTTCATAGGTGGGTTAAAAAATTCATTAATTCAGAACCTTTGTTTGGAAACAGATAATTGTAAACCTTTATCTAGAAAGTTCCTCTAGTGAGCTCAAACACAATGCATTACTATTTCAGAAATCTCAATTTCTAAATTCCACATATATCTAAGAACTGAAGGTGGCTCTAGAAGCAAACTATACTTTGCTGATCTTGGAGTTGTTACCACAAGTTAAAAAAAGGAGAAAAATGTAGCAAGTCTCCTGTCAGATGGATAATCTGTCTGTATAATGCAAGTGCTATTCATGGGAGCCAAAGTATTTAATATTCTTGAATTTTTCTTGTTTACCTTTGGCAGGCGGATTCCACTAGAGGAGGTCCCAGAAGATGAGCAGGAATGTTCTACCTGGCTCCACAGACTATATCAAGAAAAGGTTAGTTTTTTTGTCTAGGCAGCAATTGTGAGCCCTAGTGCTCCATTATTTATACTGCTAGTAGACCTTTACAGTGTCCGTGTGTAGTGGTCCTACTTTGGAGGCTTAGAGTGGGTGTTTCTGTGCATACAGACTGATCGTGTGCTACCAGTCATGATTGCCTTTATAAAGAGCAACAGAAAAAAAGCTTAAACAAGCCTTTATAGAGGAGTTTTAAAACTCTTCTCTAGAAAGTTGCATAAGACTACAAAAATCAAAATTATCTTCTGTCTTGTCTTCTTTCCCCTTAAAGGCACCTTGTTAATCAAGAAGTAATTTGTGCGCTAAATGAGATATTTTTAGTGTACTAGAATTTTTGTCCCTTGTTTTACCCTGTCTTTTTAACCAAGGCAAACATCCAGTATTAATAGGACAGGCTGATAAATTGCTTTCACATTGTGTGTATAGAAGGCATGTGTTTAAGATTCCTAATTACATAGGATGAGGAGAGAATAATAAGGACTGTGTGTTTGTAGATGCCTGGTGGAGTTTTTTTCTTATTTCCAAATGCTTTCATATGCATCCTTCAGTCTTTCAGAATCTGTTTCTTCTGGTCTTTGTTTTTAATGAATATAGGAGATAAGGGTTGGGGGATGTGCTTTTTGAATACACTCAGCACTCCCATTTCAATCAGTGGGAGTCATAGGTATGTATGGCATGAGGGCCTGGCAGCTCAGTTTCCTTCAATACATTGATCAAAGTTATGTATTCAGACTGAAATGCAGCAGTGCTTTGGATTTAGAAGTGATATAATATAGCTCTGGTTTCCTCTCACTGGGACAGCAAAATTCTGCTGTGCCATTTGTCATGCTCTACCCAGGACACCACGTTAGCATTTCTGTACTGATTATGTCCTAGTCTTTCTCAGTTTCATGCCATGACTGTTTCTGTTTTAATTCATAGCCCCTCTAAGCAGCTTGCTTACAGGAATGAGAAAAGTAAATATGTCTTGAGACCTCACTTGTAGATCTACTACCTTTGCCTCTGATCCCCCTTCTTGTAATTTGTGCCAGTAACACCTGATTCAGACACGACCCCCAGCACCTTTGCAGAAAGGCAGGATGTTACCCACAGGCTCGTACTCGTTCTAGAGGCATATATGTGCAAATGGTCCTTTTGCTTAAAATTGCAAAAGTCCACTTTCTGCTGCTATGAATTTGTAGCCATTTCTCATGTTCCTGAGAACCATTTAGACATTTGTAAGACAAGAACATAAATGAGAATATGGTAATTGTTTTTCTGAATCCCTTATTACTTAGTTTGCAGTAGTTCACTTCAGGTTTGTTCTGTTATTCAGTCTTTGGTGAACACTCAGTTACTTCTAATGCAAACAGAATGTACATCTATCCTATATACTATTATATGATACGGTATAACATAATATCCTTCATATCTGTTCTTCATGGCAGCTTTGCTGGTTGGTTAAATCTATAGTTTCCTGTTAAGAATAAGGAGGGAGGGAGGGAAGGAATGTGTGTTTAGTTTTCCTTTCCACTAAAACCTTTTTGGTTACGTAGCATTTTTTTGGATTCATTAGAGGTGGGTTTTTGTTTGGGGATGGTTTTCATTTTTTTCTGAGGGTGACATCTCTATTTCTCCAGCTGTTTTACATTAGTGAAACTTATTTCATTGCAGTCATTCCTGGTTTACTGAAGCCTATGTCTTTGTAAAATCAGTCTGGCAGAATGTAGAGCAGGGACAACTTCTTGAAGAGTTTTGAGATGATGAAAGCCCCCCTGCAGGGTAAAAATGCAGTTTCGTTTCATCTTTCTGCCCTGCATTTAAAAAAAGATAATTGGCTTTTAGGTCAGATAACAAGCAACCGCCCAGGTGCTGTTCCTAAAAATGAATTCTGTTTCAGATTGTCTTCAGAGTCAGTAAATGTTTATGATAAAATGTAACAAATTGTATTCAAAGGGCAGTAATTCATTGTAAGATGAATCCCCTTCTTTGTCTATTTTGATTGCAGCACTTCATTTCCTGTTTCAAAGCAAGACAAGGTGTGCACACAACTGGAAAGCAGAGACCCTATTTTATCATGCATTATGGTTACATGTGCCTTTGCTTATTCTCAGTGAGTTTAATAAGTTTGCAGTACTTTCTCAAGGCTTACATACAGTGTGCTGAATTATGCTGTAGTAGCATGATTTAGTGACTGGGGAGTGCCACAGGTACTGAGGACAAGGCCTGTGCACTCATGGTGATCAGAGTCCAGAGCGGTTGGAATGGGTAATAAATCAGTAATTAGTAGACATGGAGGGTTATGACTTTTTTTTCTTTTAAATTAAATCGACATTAGTAAAGGAGTGAAGATCTTTGAGAAAAGCTTGTTTTGTTGTTTTTTATGTCATTGCCTGATCTCACTTACATGTACCTCTATCAGAGATACTTTTCTCTGGGAATCTGGCATGTTTATGTTCTTGCTACTTAGTACTTCATTTTTTGGTTTAGCAACTGCTGCAAATGCCGTGAGCAGTCTTGCCAGATAAACAATGACACTGTGCTCTTCTAAATGAAACACTGTTCTCCTTCCTTTTCCAGGCTTACAGTAAGCACGGTATCCATGTGTTTCTTCCTCACCTGAGGTGGATTTTGTCCTTCCACGTATGGCTAACACTGCATCAATTAACGCCAAATTATGACAGAGGTGCAATTTGTGTTGCACATTGCCTTTTTCTTTTATTTCTTTTATTTTTTTTAAACTCCCATTGCTAGAGAGGCTGCCTTTGACTTTAACAAGGACTGGGTTGAGGATCTTATTGCCTGGTGTGAAGAGGTACTGTGTAATAGTCACAACTCAGCTAGCCCTTGCACGTTTGTTTTCTTTTTTTACCTCCTTGCAGCCTCAGTGCCTGAAATAGAAGTTCTGCTTGAGAATCTTAATTTCCATTAAAAAGAAAGCAAGCTTCTAACTTTTCTCACTTGTAGGAGAAGCATGGAAAACAGAGTATGAAAATATATGCTGGAATGCCCTAGGGGATTAGCAAAGCATAACTGAAGAGGGCATGTGTACAGAACTCCAGTTTTGTTTGGGAACAAAGACTATATTTTTGGATACTCATTCTTTGTGAACTTCTTCATGAAAAGGCAGCGGCATACCTCTGTCGTCAGACCTCCTGGGAGGAAGAATCCAGTTAGCCTCTGATGGATGTTCCCTGATGGATGTTGCCTGCATTTACCCCCACATTGTCTGAAGTAACTTAAATTTGGTGGGGCCAATAGAGGGAGCATGTTTCCATGTCTGAAAATAATACTTGAGAGGATGGGATTGATTACAAACTGGAAACAAAGTCTGTATGCAGGGAAATGAAAGGAGCTTAATGTAGGTGAAGTGATTTTGGGAAATTTTGAGCTACGTTATGTGTTTAAGGGCTGACTTGAGATGATGGGTACCATAGGCACTCTTGCAAAAGCTTAGAAGACAGATTAACCCACAGATGTCTTTTGCAAGGAAAGTGAATATATTTGAGCATAAGGAATCTTAACTGAAGAGCTGTTCCCTCACAAAGGTGTGAAATGCATAGTGGAGGTGTTGGCTTTCACATTGTTTAGCCTGTTGTGTATGTTTTCCATCTGTCTCAAACCTCTCTGTGATGTGGTCAGTGATTTTACTGCCCCTAATGCTGTGCCGAGCCAAGAAGGGAAACACTGCTGCATTTGTTTTAAGCAAGCCTGTCCTGCTCTCTGTAGAAACAGGCCCTCTAATGGCAATACCAATAATAGGAATTCTTCAGTTTCCTGGGTAATGCTGGTATTTGGGAACCTAATTGTATATGGTAGAATTCAATTTACTGATGATTAGTAGCTCTGTGTTGTTAAAGCAGTTATAAACCAAAGTCCTCAAGGCACTGTAAAGAAAACTTCATACACTGTGTGATCTGGTGAAGATGACTAATTAATTGGCTATAGTGAACTCAGTACAATCTAGCTTGCATGAGTAAAACAGTCATAATTTTTCTAACCTCAGTAAAGAGAGTGCAGTATTTAATTACTGTGTAATCTCTTAAAGCTGAATGTTCCTTCTGAAATAGATAAAATGGTAGCAACTTCTAATTGCTAAAGTTGCTCTTAAATAAATAAAAAATTATTTATGTCAGCTGGAGTGTAAGTAAGTGTAAAGTTGTAGCACAGTAGAAATAAACTTCTTGTGTTGATTAGGACAATCTTGGCTTTGGAAACCAAAAATCCTTTCTTTGAAGAAGTATAGGACTTCACTCTGACTAAACTAGGGTTCCTTTTTATGTCAGTCTAATGCTGACTTCATTAATTAACCAGTTTGATGTGATAACACCAATTAATAATCTTTGCTTTTGAACAAGTAGGCAGGGTTTTTTTACCCCACCCCCTTTTGATATCTTTGGTTGATCAGATCACTAATGGCAATGCTGTTCACCCCTGTGGGCTCTAGAGGAAGGTACTGAATTCTAAGTCTTCTGTGCTTTAAAAAACACACACTACAGAACAGAAGAAAAACAGCCCCCACCCCATTATCTTCCTGATATTATACAAAAAGGGAGAGTCGTTTGGTCAAAACCAGTGAGAGATTGTAAACTGTTTAGAGAGGATCAGCACCCAAACTTCCTTCCACAAGCTTCTTGGGAATGAGCTGAACAAGACTGGGGGACAAAGCAGGCAGAAGAGGGTGGTGTTCTTCAGAGCATGGGACAAGATTATGTCTGGTCACCTTTTCTGACTGGTTTGTGGGTACTGTTTTAGAGCAGTGCAGTGGTTGGAGAAAACATTAGGGAACAGAGGATCTGCTGCTGAGCATGTAGCCCAGACACTTCTCTGGCTTACCAGCAGTATTTGGGCAGTGGCTGTGGCTCTTGCAGGAGATTCAACATTGCTGCAGGAGTGTACATCCCATCACCCATCTTGTTTTACTGGGCTTGTTATACTCTTCAGGTATGCCATTTTTCAGGCTGCTATGTGCAGGAGAAAGAAAGTGTGCTGTTTCCTTTTTTTTCCCCCGTTTCTTTTTCTTTTTTTTTTTTTTGACTCTGTGTTCATTGACTTCAAAGTACAAGCTTTCCAGACATCCCTTGGTCTTTGATCTTCCCCTGTGGTTACAAGCCTGGAGCAGGTGGAACATCAGAGTCAGAAATGGCTAGTTTTGTTGGCAGATGGGGATTTAATTGTTGCTCTTCTTTGTTCTACTAGGATGCATTCCAGGAAGAATATTATAGAACAGGAACCTACCCAGCAGTCCCTATAGTACCACCCCATCGACCATGGACACTTTTGAACTGGCTTTTCTGGGCCTTATTGCTGCTATATCCTTTGTTCAAACTGCTCATCAACATGATCAACAGTGGATCATCACTGACACTGGCTAGTTTTGCATTTGTCATTATAATAGGTAAGTTTTCTGAACAAAAAGATTACTTACTGGGTGACTTTCAGATATGATTTATTGAGGCTTGCTAAATATAAAGATGGTTTGTGAAGTTAACAGCCCATCTGTGGGTGGATATTATATCCACTGTAGCTTGGAATAGGTTAAAAAGATTCTTTGTTTATTTTTGTATAGCTGTATTATTTTTTTTAAGAGCTGCCTACAAAATTTTCTGTTTCTGTAGAAATCAAAACAGTGACTTCTCAGTGGGTTGCCTACAAAAGGCTTTCTTTTCTTGTGTTGTGCTTTGCTGGGTTGTACTTTAAATGCCTAGAAGAAAGGCTTAAGGATAATTTATTCTATTGAGAATTCTTTTGTCTAATCAGTCTGTGTCATGCACTGGTAATCCATGAACTCATGATTTAAGCACAGCCTGTTATGGCCATCTTCTCTGACTTATGTAGCACAGGGCGTAGACTATCACAGGTAATTCCTGCAGTTCCTGTGGTAGTTCTGAATTGCCTGGGTTTGTATTTAAACTAGTATGTTATTTAAGGGGAGGAAGGAAAACAAAACAAGGAGCTGGCCCATAGAAAGGGAGGGAGATGTCATTTGGTGTCCTTCATGGAAGCAAGCACCAGATCGGTTTGGAAAAATAGTGTCTATGATTGGGCGCTTGTTTGAAGAATAAGTTCCCTTCTATGATAAACCATACATTTATAAAGCAAATACTTTTTATGATTGCACTGACCATCGCATGTATTTATGGCTTCATCACCTTAACTTCTGTATAAAATGCCCTTTGAAAAAGAAACAGAACTTCACAGTCCTCCTGGCTCTGAGTGAAGTGAATGCAGAGATATTAGAGTTGGATTAAAAAGCCGTGTCCAGAATAGCAACACAGAGGAAATAGAAAAATGTGGAGCATTTGCTTGTTTCAGAAGTGCATCTTTCCTCTCTGCCTAGGAAACTGTTCCTAATGTTCAATATTTCTTTGCATTCTTAGAAGTCTGAATCTTGAGCAGGTCCCGTTCTAGCTTGATCATGATTAACCAACTAATGTCCTTTTGCCCATTGTGAAGAGCTTGATATGGTAGGCACACGATATTCTTTTTCAGAACGTGCCCACGGTAACAAACACTGTGTTCAGCTACTGTTAAGGCTTCTTATAAAGATAAGTGGAGAAGGAAGAATTTGTATGTGCACGCAGACAGGAGATGTACTTCGTGATGCTTTGAGCCAGAGGAAGGAAAACAAGAGCAAGGATAATGTCCAACATAATGGTTGGTACATGAGCAGGGTAGAGGAAAAAAGAGGGGAATCCTGTGCTCTTGTCCTTACCTGGAGAGATTGCTGGTGCTTGTTACCCTGAGAATGCTTTGTGTAAAAATGTGTGAGAATTTCTCAGAGCAGTGACTACAACTTAGAAGCATCTTTTTTCACCCACCTTACTTGTTGGAAGTCACAAGTAGTGCTGCCCTCTCCCTTTCTCTGACTGGTGAATAGGATGGGAGTGTAGAGTGAGCACTGTGGTTAGGGTGTGCTCTCAGGAATGGGAGGTGTCAGGGTCATATCCCTGTCAGTTGCAGAGAAAGGTTGATCACCCTCCCCTGTGCTCTTATTCAAAATGGATATTCAGCAGTGGGTAGGATGAGGTGTGACACCATTGCAAATGCTTCATCCCTGGCAATAGAACTCAGGAGGGCATTTGTCCTGCCTTTGAAGAAATGCTGGCATAGTCTGTTTCATACTGGATTGTGGAACAGTGGCCTAATGGTGCACTGAAGCATAGCCATTGCAAAATTTTTTTAATTTGTCATCTTTTCTTCAGCGTTTTCCTCTTAATTCAGTTCTTCCACTCAGCAGGGTGGGTGGTTGGGTGCCATCCTGAAGTGCTTCATGCCTTGCGTACCCTCCAGAGGGACCATTGTTCCATAATTCAGGGTTTCTGGAGTTTAACCTCTGGAGTTTAACCTCAGGGCTGGATACTTTAATGCTTGGCATCCATGGCATCTGTGATGGATTTGGATTCAGCCCTTATTAATTTAGTTGAGTGACACTACACTCCTGCTCCCTCCACCCTAAGTCCAATACCATTTTGCCATTAGTGACCTAGGTCATGTCTTTATCAGGAAGGGAGAGAAAGAACCTGCAAAGGAAAATAGCTATGATGCTACTGAGAATGGACAGCAAGAATGCCGTTCTGTTCCTTTTTTCCCCCCCCCCTTTTTTTACTGTCTTACTACTCACCTAGCTTTCTTCTGCTTTGAGCCACAAGGAAAGGTTAATAAGCAGGCTGCTGTGAGTCCTCTCTTGAATGCAGTGATGATCTAAAGGACTTATTCTCAGGTTTTCTGTAGCACCGGAGCTAACAGAGGACGCCAGCAGCAGTGTGCTACCAGAATGAATGTATTGAGCTCCCAGGCTGCAAAAGCACAGCTGAAGAACATGTTCAGACCCTAACTTTCAGATCCAAGGAATGAATAACCACCAGCTCTGCTGGTTCAGCTCAAACTCTTTCAGCCCTAAATAAATGACGTCTCCTCTTTATACTGCAAATACCATCCCCTCTTGCTTTGCTGTGCAGCAGTTTGGCTATTTATTTTCCCAATTATCATCTCATTGTCCTTGTATCTAACTAATGGTCTGGGACTGGGAGCCCTTTGTGATACTACTTGAACCAACACAAGGCAGTCCCTGCTTCAGAAGATAACGCTCAAAGAGTTTGAGAGACAAAAGTCTCTTTTGAAAACCAGGTTTAGTTTCACAGGACACATAGCAAGAGATTTATGTACTTAGCTCACAACTGCCATTTAAAACTTGGTGCTGATATTTTGGTGTTAAAGCGGTGAGCATGTCTGTCAAATGTCAGCATTTGTATTTGACAGCAGCTTCTTTTTTCCCCCTCCTCGCTTCTTCCCTAGTCTCATTTGGCTTCAAAGAATCCAGTAGGGGTTGCCTTTCATGTTTTGGTAACTTGAGGAGGACACCCTTCATGCTTTAGAAGTAATTTATTATAGAGCTGTCGACAGCAGTTAAAAGGGGAAAAGATGAGTGGGCTTTTCTGGGCTTTTAAAGGGAGAAGCAGCTCTTACATGTTTAATGCTAAAAGCACAATGGCATCTGGGCAGATGGCACAGGGCCAGCAATTACATATCAGTTATAGGCAAGAGAAGTGTTTCATCTGAACTAAGTGTAAGGAGTAATTAGCCAGCTTGGATCCTGTGGGAACTGTTGTATGTGTGCTGTATAGTACAAACTGTGAGTCCTTGAGGACTCGACAGTGTCCAAGTGCAGAGTGTGAACCAAAGGGCTGGAGCATGATGTGACCTGGGCAGTGAGGCTCTTGGTGTCCCTAGGCTGAGATGGATGGAAGGTGAGGACAGCACAAGCCAGCAGTGTTATAGTAAATTTTCCAAAAGGATATAAATCATGTGCAGGATTCTGCCTGTATTGATTCTGCTCGTTGGTGGAGACAGTCTGGCCTTTCAGCCTGGTGCCCAAAATTTGGGGGGTTATTGTTGCTTGTTTCTTCTCTTCATAGAATGTAAGATAGGCCCTCAGTGGAAATTCAGTGGGAATTTCTACCATTCGTGTAACCTTTAGTTGTACATATCTTAATTTCAATGTATTACCTATATAACTCAAGTGTACAGCAAACAATATATGGGAAATTTTTATGCCCCTACCTGCTGTGTTGCTTATAGCACTTGCTGTGTGGTACAAAGGCAAGGTAACAGACGAGATGACATTCTGAGGTGTGAGAGAAAGGTGGAAATCCTTTGCTCTGAGCTAGGGTTTTGCTGAAGGATGTGATACTTACTATGTGTGGAGGTGGTGGTTTTCTTGGAGCTAAAATATATTCCAAGAAAGATATTACAGTATTGGCTCTGTTGATTTGTGTTAGCTCAGCCCTCCCTCAGCTTCCAGTGCTCCAGTAGGCAGAGAAGGTCCTCAGCAACCTCCTGCATCTTTTGGATGCTGAGTAATGATGGGCAAAAAGATGGCAGGAGCTCTGTTACCTTAGGCCATTTGCTGTGGAGCAGTGCGGGGATGCCTGAGCTGATAGCTTCCCTCACGCTCAGGGTGGATTTAAACTCTCACTGTTAATAATTCAGGCACAATTCCTGCTTGATCTCCCTTTTACCTCTTTCTTGAAGTAAAACATGCAAAGTTGCCCTTACTATAGTTGTATTTAAAACAACTGAATAAATCCTTAAATGGATAGTATCGCTAGGGTATGCACTGAGGCTCCAGGAGAGTTGTGAGATAAGGCAGGTAGTGCAGGGAGAAACCAGGGATTCTCCCCAGCACTGACCCCCACTTTGCTTCCACAGGCTTGGCAAACATGAGCAGTCCCTTTCTGTTGCACCCCACCTTCCCCAGGGTCCTGAGGGCTACAGGGTGAAATGAGGACAGAAGGCAGTGGCAGCTTCTAACAGGGACAAAGGAGTGGGTCAAAAAAAGACATCCAAACTGCTGAACTAGGTATTTTTTTGTATCCAGGCAGTGGCATTCTTGGAACTGGATGAAATCTCCAGTGTGCTGTGTGGTTGCTATAACAGCTGCTCTTATTTATGCTCTGTGTCCATCTCCAGATGCTGTTTCTATCCCTTGTGGTTAAAATCCTAATGATTTCATACTTACTATTATGATCCCAGACTGCAGGCTACATGCTGAATCTTTCTCTTCTCTTCCCCAGCTCGTGGCCAGTTAAATGTCAGAGATGGTTTTCTTTTTGTCTTGTCTATTTGTGAGAGTGAAACTGTTTGCTTGTTTCAGTTGTGTGTGTTTCTATTCGTAGATTGACAGTGGAGTGTGAGCGACAGTGAACTCCCTTGGAACCAGCTCTCTTTCTGGGCTGTTCACTGCATAGCTTTCTGCCTGTGAGAGGGCCTTGCTTTCCTGGCATCCAAAAGACCTGAGGGCAGCCCTGTGGACAGACCAGCTTTCCACTGTCCACCCATCGTGGTGTCACATCATGTGTGACTCATCTCTGGTGTCCAGTTACCACTTGCACTCTAAAAACTGTCAATTTACTGTCATACTACAAAACACAAGTCTCTAGTGAAGTTTTTGGGGCTGATATTGTAATCCCAAGTTGCAACTGGTAAAGCACAGGGCAGCAATGGCTGCCAGCTGCCAGCCCTCTCCCATTCAAATGCTGAAGAGCAGCAAATGCCAGGACACAAGGTGTTGTATCAGCCCTGCTGTTCACAAGTGGTGCCTGGTAGTGGTATGAAGCCTTGGGATTCTCTTAGTGATCTCTGGCTCTGACTTAACCATTACGAGTCCCTTGGCTGGTAAGAATTTGTCCATGGTCATCTTAGAGAAGTAAAGACCGATGGGAATGAGACAGAGCATCTCACAGTACTGGGCCTTTTCACCATCAGTCAGAAAGAAAGAGAGATATGGAGGCTTTAGGGCAGGATTGTGGCTTTCTTGGGTTTTTTTGTTTGGTTTGGATGGTTTTGTTTTTTGGTTTTTTTTTGAAAAAGCATTCTGAGCAGAGGGAAGGTGTTTGTGACTTCAAAGTAGGTTTAGGCCTGAAAGAAGCATGGCAGTTCTGGATATGTACAGCAGCTGAGCAGAAGCTTAGGGAATAATATTTTGGGCAGCTGAGCCCCTTGACAAAAAAAACAAACTGTCAGGCAAGGAGTTAAGGCTAAGTTGCATTTAACTTAGTTACTTTAGGTGCTACAAATAAATAAAATAATCCTTGCATATGGTGAATTATTACCACTAAATCAGCTGTAAGTCTTTTAATTTAACCCGGGCTCTTGTGACATATCCATTACAATTTACATTTTTTTATCAAAATCTGAAGTACCCTTGTGCTTGCTTGTGCTCTTCCAGGCACAGGAGCTGTTGAAAGCCAGCAGAATTCCCTTCCCCTGCCACAACTTGCATGCAGACATGTGCATTAGTTCACTTCATCACTCGACTCACTAAAGCCAGGAAACACTGGCAGCCCCAAAGCATCCCATTACACAGCTGGCCTTGTCCAGGTTTAACAGGGGTGAGCATATCATGCCTGTGCCTCACACCCATGTTGCTTCCTTGTAGCCTCTTCCCTGCTGGTGGGAGAGGACATGTCTGGCCTTCCTTCATGAGGTGCCATCAGCAAATATCTTGATGTGGAGGTATGGGAGCATCAAATGCACCTCCCATTGAAGGTCACCCAGGGTAGTGTGGGCAGTTACCTTTAATGCTGTGCTGCTGTAAGGCTGAGAACACTGTTGGTCTCTTTCACCTGTGCAGATCTTGCAGTCCTTGCCTGCAGTGCAGCTTTTAACTGTATTTATTTTGCAGCTTCTGTTGGTGTCAGATGGATGATCGGGGTTACAGAAATTAACAAGGGCTCCACCTATGGCAACAATGAAAACAAGCAGAAATGAAAGTAGGATCTTCAGAGACTGCTTCAATCCAAAGGGAACAAATGCAACTGCTGAAAACTCTTAAGTGCATATCACAGTCCTTCAAGTGAGATCAGAGGAGAGGTAGGATGGGCAATTGCCATGCATATCCGAATTTGTGCTCCTGTTGTTTTTCTCTGAGAGTTTGGGCTGATGACACGCTTGAAAGATGCACTCCATATCCTCTCCGCAACAGGTTTGCATTTGTGTGGTTGGTTTGTTTTCCTATGAAGTGTCTTAAGTTTTGAAGAAAAAAAAATAAATTCCGGCGTGCTTATATGAAGAGACTTTACCTGGAAACTAACCAGAGGTGCAGGCTTTAATGTCAGGAGATTGTTACAAGATGATTAAAATTGATAGTTGTGTAGATCACACAGTTTAACAACCATAATCTGTCAGTGTTTAAATACAGTACAGTAAGATGCTGTGCTTGATTATACCAGTATTGGACTGAAGCAGCTCAGTTGAACTGGTAGAACTGCAGTATAGAGTTTTTGTACATCTAGAACTTACTGCCTCAGTGTGACTATGGGGCCCTTTAAAACTTCAGCCAGACCCTGGACATCCAGACATCAGAGCCTTGCAGTAGCATAACCTGGAGCAAAATTTGGCCTTGTGGCCTGAGCAGAGCTAAGTTAGCCACTGCCATCTCTTTCCTGAGGCCATACATCTGAGGGATAGCTGAAACCTGTAATTCTTCTGAGAGTAAATTCCATTTATGGTTTGGAAAAACTGACATAATAAAATTCCCTTGGGCTTTAAACACTACTTAAAATTCTAGGCCTTCCTAGCAATGGTGGGAAGAAAATAACTGGGCATGGTGTAGTGAAACAATGCGAAGTGTGCATTAAAATGTATGCACCACACCCATAATGTAGTGATCCTAATTAATCTGCGTGTCTGTCTTTTCTTATAAATTAGTTTACTTGGTGCCTCATAGAAGCCTGTGGTAATAGTTAAATTATCTTTTCTTTTGGGGAGAAGAGGGGAACTAGGACAAAGACCTAGGGCAGCAATATGGTTCAGGTTTTTTTATATCTGTCTGGACTTGATTAGACCCCCTTCTGAATTAAATAAAACTAGAATCAAGCTCCTCAGGAAAATGGTGTTGCTCTGACCTTCCTGGTACTGATTTCAGGGCAGAGGCCTCCTGTTTTTAAACTTTCAGAGTTAAAGGATCTTCTTACTAAGAAGAACTTCATAGAATCACAGAAAACAAGAAAAAAACCCACAAAACACACAAAAAAAAAAAAAAAAAAAAAACAAACCAAAAAAAAAAAGGAAAAGAAAGAGGGGGGACTTTTAAAAACCAGCAGTTATGACTGGAAAAAA